TGTCACGTGCGAATTTCATCATTATCAACCATATAATGTAAGTCAACGTAATAATTCCATCCCATAAGAAAATTCATCATCAAATCGTCATAAATTCTATAAATGTGTTCACTGGGCCAGAAAATCACACACCAGTAATCAACGTTTACGGTTTTCAAACACGTGTTACATAATATTGCTTGCAGTGCACCCCGTAATTTACATAATTATTTAATCTATATCGTATAGTTCTGTCAGTTTTACTTTTTTGTTGTTCTTTTTGCACTCTAAATAAAAATTATTTTTTTATCGTCAAGTAGTGGTTGGTAGTTTCCATAGTAAATCGTGGTACAAATACGCGCACAAGTTTAAGATAAAGTTAATCCATACATGATGGTCGGTTGAATGTTAACGAGACATTATCGACACATGACACGCGGAAGCTTGTCATCGTGATTTTCAGTATTAGCAATAATATCTAATATATTATAATATACTGTATTGGGTCAAATTGATAAACAACGAGCAAAAACCGATGATGGTAATTTAGTATGATAGTGGAGTACTTTAGACTTCCGGTTTTATCATAGTGAGGACCAGCAGAGTATCCCTAGAGCGTTGATAACATAATTTTCGCTTGCAGTTTTTATACACATTTTTCATTCGGGATGAAGTTTTTGTAGTTTTCTCAAGTCTATTTATACGTAAGTAATGAAAAAATGATTGATATCGATTATATTCACATTTTACGATAACAAAAGTGATATTTCGAGGGATATACGACACCAAATTCATTTTTAGTTTTGACGTCGACAGTGTTGATCGAATTTTTATATTTTCCTGTTTTTGGGTCCACTTTAATATTATCTGATTAAAAAAAATTAATATACTGTTCACAAATCTTTTATTTAAAATTACACCAGTCCAATTGATAAACATTGTCACTTCATTATTTATCGTTTTGAAACATAATAATAATAAAAAATAGAGAGAGAAAAATGCGTCGGATTATATAATCGGATTTTTGAATCATAATCTCATCTTCTGTGCAATTGGTAAATAGAAATTGACGTATGTTTCGGTGCATGATAACTAGACCGCGCAAAATACGGATCTCCATGACTCTATCGATTTACCGTATTGAACGTACACTTGTAAATTAGAGAAAATAATGCGAATTTACTAAAATGTGTTTTTTTTTCTTCTATAAAATTTACCATTTTGGATTTGCGACTTTTGAGAATCAGGCCGATGATAAGAAACTTTTTCATTGTTCATATAATTTAAGTTTCCAAAAATATCAATCAACAGTCTTGAACAACATCAATACCAATAATTATTATAATAGTTAAAGTATTTTTCCAAAATTATTTATATAAAAAAAAAAATATTCTTTTAATTCCCGAATAAAATTATTCTAAAAAAAATGTATTGATTTCTTATAATTTTAAGAAAATAATTATAAAAATGATAGGTAATATTAAAAATTAAAATTCCATGTAATAACAATCGGTTACATAAATAAAATATATAGGTACATATATTTTGTTTTACTAAAATATCTTTTAGCTAATAAACTCTTGCTAAATTATTTACCATAATTATTGGATACTGACCATAATACGAGTATTTACAAAATTATACTATAGTTGACATTTAGCAGTCAATAACACCACTAAAAAAAATTATAAACATGTTACTCGAAAGCCTATTTCATAACATTCAATATTTATTTTGAAAGTTCTTAAATTTAATTTTTCACGTTTCATTTCCTCACACAATTATCGTATTATACTTTATTCCAAATGTATTAATTGGAATGTTTAGGTTTTCTTTTTTCATTAATAAATTTATATTTACATTTGATTTCATAAATTTTTTATGTTATTAATTCTATAGTTTATTTTTAAGACAATAATGTCAAACATTTTACCATTAGACATTAAATTGTCAATCAAAAACATAATGTTACTGTCGAACATTTAATACATAACAATACGGTCGGAAGTGCAATTTGTTAATATGATTTAATATCGTTCATACAATTCTAAAATACAAAAACCATTAGTGTATTTTTATTTATTATTGATGAACTACTCTAAATTGACCTGCAGTATAAATTTGATGTTAATTGAAAATCATATTTTCATATTTTTCCTCTATCGATTCGTAACGTGTCGTTTGTCAGAATATGATAAGATAATGTACATATTTTTATGAATTATTTCCAATCCGTTTAACGATTTTATTATAATCTCTCTACATTTTTCGTTAGTTTCGTGTCTATTATCAATTCGACTGAATGAACAGCATATTACAATTATATTATTTGTTTAGTTATTCCAATGGCTTACCATTGTTTTTTCGATTTCAATACCTCACTATTTAATGTTTGTTGTCAGTAAAATATATAACCGTTAAAATACAAATTAGATATTCGTTTTTCTTTTATATAAAATTGAACTATTATTGTTACATGTGCATTTCTTTTATATTTATACAATTATATAGTAATAAATAGTGTTATACTCACCTGAAAGTTAGTTACAAATACCAAATACAAATAGTAATAATTTATGCCTAATTAAACAAAATAACTGTTTAAAGAACAATTAAATATTATTAATTGTGTATAGAATAAACATTAAAGTAGACTACAATTTTTTTTTTTTTTTTTTAAATATAAAATTGTCTTTATTATTTACAATTTATATAATATAAGTACACTAAATAACTTTGGGTCTTATTATTAAAAAAAAAAAATAAAATAACAAAAGAAGCCTTGAATTTTTGATTTAGGAGATTGAACATTTTTAATACTTAGAACCCACTAACTCTCTTAAATCGCTTTGTGTATAAAACCTTAAACATGCATTTTAAACAATTAAATACTTTTTATACAATTTTAATTTTCCTAATTATTATGTTTTCTTTTTGTGCATTTTATCTAATTTATAGTGTTTATAAAACTTTTTGAATTACCAACAAATATATGTTAGAATATATATATATATATATATATATATATAATATATGTTTAAAATGATATGTTTATGGCTCATTGTTAATTTAATAAAAAAAAATGAAATATTAAATCACAAAAACAAAATTTTAATCATAATAATATCATTTACGTGAAAAGAAAAAAATGAAGCTTACAACATAATACAACATGATAACATATATTATATCATCTCCTTATATTTTGGTATAGGATATAAATGCTTTCTAAAAATACAGTTAAACCTTTGCTACTCTATTATACAATACTTTTTATCTCATGTATATAACTCCAAAATGCACTGACTTTTAGTGTTATATTGAACTAATATGTTCTTGTTTTTCAATTTTATCTTCTATTTATTTTATCTTTTTTCTTCTTTGACCTGGATTTGTCTTTTGGAAAGCATTAATCAAAAACTTATCAAAAAATGTCAAAAAATAATTATACGCTCATTTGTAATATCACCATATAGTGGAATGTTGAAGATTTTCAAAAATTACCAATATAAATAATTTTTATTAACGTTACTCTATTTCTAAACTAAAATTAATATAATACAATAACTTTTGTAATTTATCCGAAAAAAATGTTTTACTAACCAACTTAATAAGAAAACATATTATTACGGGGCCATTAGGCTCCATTCAGAATATAAAATAAAGATTAATACATATTTTATAGAATCAGACATGTGTAAAATTGGATAGTGTGTTTTACAATCAGACATAAAAACGTTCGGAAAAATAAAAAATAATATATTTATATTAAAAATTTTTACAAACTATAGATCATTGTTTGCTCGAATTTTGAAACTGTGATTTTATCTAAATATTTGCTTAAAAAAGATAAATGTTATTCAGTATTATGATTTATGACCTCAATTGTAATTTATTAAATAGTGATTGTATTATAAACTATATTCAATATTTTAATAACATACTTTCACAGTATTATAATTTAAACATTTACAGTTAATATATATTATCCAATAAATGAGGTGAATTATACTATGACTCTATAATACCATGTAGTAACTATAATTATAATACTTTCAACATTTCTAAGTAAAATATGCTATATTAAATATTGATTTCTGTTATTTTTCTGTCTTATTTCCGAACACGTCTAATATCATGATACTTAGAGCAAAACTGTAGAACTAAATATGATGGTCCTCATATTAAAAATGAAACGTTTCTGTAACAGTATTTCAAACTTTTGTTATTTATATTATACGCGATTATGTAATAACTTGAAAAATATTTTGAAAGTGGGATTTTAGAGACCGAGAAATCTTTATCCCTATAGGCTATTATACTGAAGGAAATATATATATATATATATAAGTTCTAATATTTAATCTGACCAACGGAGGGCGTATAATCCAATAAAAATTACAACTGTGTTCATCTTACCATAAATATTAGTGAATATTGTACCTATTCCAATATCCAACATCGATGCCCTACCTCAAAGTATCGAATCTATATGGTAAGGACTTAAAGGGATAAAATCGAGAGATGCTACAAACCTTCTAGAAAGGCAATTAAAAGAAGAGTGGTAGCTCTCAACCAATCCTATAAGTATATCCGAAGCATTTTTACATGACATTAACATTGTTTACTGTGTTGAACTCTAATAACAATTTGACAATGGAACAAACAATAAAGACGCAGATATAAGTTTTTTTGTGTTTTTAGTCTAATGTTGACAATGTAAAAAAATATATATAAATGTTAAAACGATAATGTGATAAAATATGTGTGTACGTACATACGTACTATGTGTAAACATATTATATTATTTAAATACAAACATTTTAAAATTATTATACAATTTAAAGCTGGGAATTTGGGCATTAAGACAGACATAAGTCAAGAAAAATATTTTATTTATTATATATAGGAGTAAGAATTTGTTCTGTATACGTCATAATCGTATTTAATATTAATTTCAAATATAAATAAAAAAAAAAACTGTTCGAATAATATTATTTGTTTATTTGTTTTATAAATAGGATGTTCCAACTCACGTGACAATGCTGACCTTTCTTTTAATGGCTATTGACCGCTATAAACATCTCAAACATCCAAACAAAATAAGATTGCCACCATTAGCTTGCACGTTTGGCTGTTGGATTGTGGCATTTTGCATAGTTTTGCCATATCCCGTTTATACGGCATATTTGGACTTGGGCGTGAGTGATACAACATTTAAATAGGTTCATGGACATTTTGTTGAATACATTATTTTTATGTGTATGTATGTGTGTGTGTATGTGTGTGTGTGTGTGTGTGTGTGTGTGTGTGTTATAGATTTACATAAAAGTACAGTTTGAAGGAGTTGGCATTTGTGCGGTGAACATGGCCGACGATATGCAAGATTATCTTCGAAGTTTATTTGTTCTCACGTAAGTATTTTCTTGATCACATTTAAATTTAATACGCGTTTCTTTACCATTTAAACTAATGTAAATATTTTGTAAGTATTAAACGTAAAATATTTATCGGTAGTTACACGATACTCCCCGATCCTCGCAAAATAAAAATAAATCTTAATTAATTAATCTAACTGTATTATTTACGCAACTATATGGAAATAAAAAAAGTTAAACATAAATTAGTTTCCACTTTTTACCATACGCTTATTGTATGGTGAAAAATATAATATATATTTTTATAAAATCACAAGCAATATAGGTATTATATGTTAATATTTATATCTATAACAAATGAGTATTATAACTACACTTGGTCCAAAGCTACAACGTACCAACATATTCAAAATATAATAGTCACCAAATGATTTAACACGTTCAGTTGGCTCAAACATAATCATTGATAACCAGTGGTGTCGTTTGAGGAGAGGGGTACACATGCATTTGCCACAATCTAAAGTTTAGCTATTCCAAATTCACGTATGTGAAGTTAATCCCCCAACTATAAAAAATACTTTCCAAAATAATTGTAACCTTATTTTCTTAATTTGTAACTATTTGTAACCAATTTTTTAGAATTTGTAACCTCATATTTTTCAAACTACGGATATTTTCTCAATGAGGGGCTAACTTTACGTAGCCCCCCCCAATTCAACGAAATCGTCGAAAACAAGTTGTAACTCATAAAATCAAATTTATAATTATTTGTAACTAACTTTTTGAAATTTATAACCTCTTCAACTTTGAGTAGTTATCAATTTTCCTATGGGGGCTGACCCCCCCCCCCAATTCAATGAAATCGTCCAAAACAAGTTGTAACTTATAAAACTTAACTTGTAGCTATTTGTAACCAACTTTTTAGAATTTGTAAACTCGGCTCTTCCGAGTAATCGTAAATTTCTCAATGAGGGTCAAGTTAATGCACGTACAGAAGCTGTTACACGTTTTCTTTTATGGTTTGTCTAAGATTCAATACTATGAAATGAGTTTGAAGTTCTTCAAGATGAAGAAGATGGTATAATAGTTCTAAACTATAGACTAGATATTTATGTGCGTTTGGATATTGCCCATTTATTTAAAATGATTGGTAGATGAAAATGTTTTAAGATAAGAAGTCACGGAAAAATTAAAGAATTTTACGTTAGAGCCATAATTCTCCTTATAAAAATCAAAAACACTTAATTAATTTAAAACAATTTTAACTGAAATTTTAGTCATTGCATCTTCAAAATTTTATAGTAATATAGAAGGTATAAAATATAATAAAAATAAACACTTCGTCAGAAAAATTCAGGGAAAATATTTTAAAACAATCGAAAATGTTGATTTTAAAGAAAATATAATTTCAGATGACGAAGAAATTCCAAAATAAAATGAAGAAAAATAATGTTACAAGTTTATAATGTTCAAAGTTTTAGTAATATTTAAAATAATATGGATACATTTATTAAAAATATTAAAGAACGTGTAGTAGTTTTCTCCAAAACATGTTTGAATAGATACTTTTTACCTGGTTTATGTGCTTCTTTTCTTCGTATTTTAAAAGATTTTCTTCTCTAGACAAACATAATGGCTAGACACTACAAATCAAAATATGAAAAGGCCATTTCAGCACCAGTCAAAGGATATTTTTCTCATGCCAAAAATGAATTGAGACAATCACTTAGAACCATAGACCGTTTTTTTGGTTCACATTTATTATCAATAGAAGGAGAATTGAAAATGGCTAAATCATTACAAGTCAACAAAAATCAAGAATATAAATCAAAAAATGATATTAAATCAAACAACAGTTCTGATATGATATATAGTAATTAAACAAATAATGAAATTGATATAAATAGCAATGTAACTAATAATGTTGAATTGGAATTTTATAGTGATGATGATATTTCTATCAATTCAGATTAATCTGATATCACTATAATGATAACAGATGAACTAATGGCACAAGAAAATTGGAAAAATAAAGCAGACCGACCTATCAAAATCAAAAAAGAGAAAAAAATTCCAAACGATTTTTGAAATATACAAGTCTATGTTAAATTATTCGCCATATACTAAATACTTCAGGATTACAATTGACTTCATTATCAATGATAATAAACGGAAATCTTTTACCAGCTCTTAAAGTAAATAAAGAAAAAATTCTGATATTTAACACGTGTGTTTTTGATTCACTTTTAGTAGCTATAACAGTAAGCTACATCGACAACAGAAGGTATAAGTTGTATATTGATAATAATAAAATGAATCATTTTATAAGACTATGAAAATATATCCTCTTCGTGAAGTTACAAGCATAGCTTATGATCAACATGGTAATTTGCTGATAGAAATTGAACTTTTTAAAATGTGACCAGTAGAATCTGAACCTCAATATTGGACGCAAATATCAATGTCATTGCTTTAAGTTACAAGCTTTTTTCTGATATACCTAGCAGTATATAAATATTGGAATGCACCATTTATACTAAAAAAACAGTACTTTATAATGCAACAATAATACTCAATGAATTGTTAAATAGTAGTGGACGCCCAGAAGATATAAATACATATTTAAATAAATATGATACGGAAAAAAAATAAAAATGGTGACCAATCTGCGAGAATATAAGTAGAAATTATTATTATATAAGAGTATGTATAGAAATTATTATTATATAAGAGTACTGCAGGAACATATTTTATTGGCAACAGATGTTTTTAAGGTTAATACGATAAATGAAAATAAAATCTTGGTCAATGATATACCATAACAGTTAAATACTAAAAAGAACTATTCTTATATATTTTAGGAGGTAATTTATTATATACAATTAAGTTTTCATTGCAGTCAATTTCATATATTGGAGATGTAGATGTAGAAAACATGGGTCACTACGTAACACACTGCAAACGAATTAAAGGTTATTGGGGAAATACATAATAACTTGGTAAAAAAAATAACAATATATAAGTGTACAGAATCCAAATATGTCAAACCACATCTATTATTTTATATAAAAATGTCAGATTAAGTATGTTAGATTTGTAAGTGTTTTAAAATTGTATTAATTTTTTTCTCAAAATGTATTTTTTTATTTTTTTTTATGAGGTTCTAACAGATGTATATTTATTTTTAAAAATAATTTTAATTAATCATTTTAATAATTCAAAGAAATATTTACATTCATTTACTTTATAGTTTATTTTATACAATTGAATTATAATGAATGGAAAGTGGCTTCTTATAATAAGTTATAAGTGCTAACAATGTATTATATATGTTCATAAATTAAGTATGTTATAAAACATATTTTATTTAAGATTTTAACCTAATCGAATAAAAATAAAAGTAAAACTCTAGTTAATTAAGACATATTTATTCAATCTAGATTTTTTTTTTTACTAAATATAGATTTATTTTTTTAAACTTATGATATGTTCTAGACGAATTAATTTAATTGAGTGATATTATAAATTACAATTTTAACTTTTTTATAAAGATATCTTCTTAGGGAAATCCATCGGGATTCAAAATTGATGAGGTTACAAATACTAAAAAGTTGGTTACAAATAGCTACAAATTGATTTTTATAAGTTACAACTTGTTTTGGACGATTTCATTGAATCGAGGGGGCCCAGCCCTCCCCATAGGGAAATCGATAACTACTCAAAATTGAAGAGGTTACAAATAGTTCAAAATTGTATTGTATAAGTTACAACTTGTTTTGGACGATTTTATTGCATTGGGGGGGGGCTGCGTGAAGTTAGCCCCCCATTGAGAAAATACCCGTAGCTTGAAAAATATGAGGTCACAAATATTAAAACTTGATTACAAGTAGTTACAAATTAAGAAAATAAGGTTACAATTATTTTGGAAAGTATTTTTTATAGTTGGGGGCTAACTTCACACACGTTCCAAATTCGGTACATCAAAATATAAATATATATTTTATAAAGTCATTACTTATTATAAATGAGAACAGTGAGACGTGTACCTACTATACGAGTACTTAAGTACAAACTACAAATCATTATATTTTTTGGACTAGTTTAACATCGCCCTCCTCCCAAGTTAATCGACACTTTGGTCAAATGAGCCGCCTAGTCGACAATTCAGTATGCCGACCACCCAACTCTAGAAAAAACTGAAATGGCGCCATTGTTGATAGAACAAACAAATAATCCAACTCAATACAAAGAGTACTATATTTTTAAATAAGATATTTTAAAAACATTTTATGCTCCTACATATAATATTGATTCTAAACACTACAATTTATAATAATTTAATTAGATTTTGAATCATGACTCTTAAACATTATAATGAAAGAAATTTTCAAAATTTAATTGTATTTTAATGAAAATCTCAATTTAATATTAATTATTTCATCGAACTCAGCGGAAAAAGCATACAAATACCTGTGAAATTTGTTATGCAATATAAATAATTTCCGGTGTCTATTTCACAAAATATTAATAATATATAAAGAAATATTATTATTTTTGTTTTGTGAACTGGATAAAATTACGATAAGCCTATTATACATGGTTTAGTGTCACGCTTAGTTTAGTTAAGTAGACAATAGTGGTCATCCGTTTCATGAGATATTTATTTAACGAAGTGCATGCAACGTATAATCATATAATCCTTCATTCAACTATGTGCACATATTTACAATTATTTGCCAATGCTTATTTATATTTTACTCATTGACGTTAGGTAATCAATTATATCTGAATGCCTGTTTAAATAGTAGTTATTTTATCAATAATTTAAAACACTTACTGTGTGGTTTTAAAATATCGATTTTTGACATAATGTTATTGATATACATATATGCTCGCAAATTTTTTTGACTAATAAGTAATATCGTTTTAACTTAATTTTTTGTTACTTCAACAATCTTAATTTTATAAAATTTAAGTTTCTGAAAAAAATTATATTCAAGAGACAATATTTATTACGTTTATAATTCAGTTTTGAC